CGTTTTGGCTTTTGCATTCGACCTGCGAGCTGTGTTAAGTAATTTCAATTTAGTGTTTTCCTCACATTTTCTAGTCGAAAAGAGAAAGAAGATCTGTACATAAATTTATGAGGACGTTAGAATATCTTCAGTTGCTTTTACCTTTTTCCACTCTTAAGTTTAGATTTCTTGCCCTGATCTTTACTCTTTTTTTCTACCATCTACTTATATGAACTCTATGTACTTTTTCTCGATCCTTTTCTTACCATTTGAATATCTCTCTTTGCCTGCTTTCAAATATTCCATATTCTTCCTCTCTTTATCTTTCTTTGCCTGCCCATTCCTTTTCTATTTCCTTCTCTCCCTACTTTCTTCGCATCTTGGCAATTAGTTTCTGGCGCTGCACACAATTTATGCAACATTCAGGCCAACGGGTGCCAACGGGTGCCGTGCCAGGCAATGGCAATTCCAGCCGCTAGGATATTCTTCCATTTAGCAGTCCTGGGTGTCCTCCCCACTCGTCCCCACCTCTCCTTCCCTACCAAACCCATTGGGGTGACACTCGCACCACAGCGGGAGGCCACTGGGAGCAGCCTATTTTTGAAAATAATAAAATATGCTAAAATACAACTAAAAGATGCATACGTACCGAGTATAACTAGAGACTCGTTTACGGCCCTGCACCCCTGCCACCCTGCGACCCTACCACCCTGCCACCCAGCCAATGCAATTGAGAGGCGCCTGCAGCCGGCACTTTTCTAATTCGGGAAAACTATGGGGAACCTCCTGCCCCCTTGGGGCATTGCTCAGCCCCACGCGGTTCTGTTCTGCTCGGTTTGGGTTGGATTTAGTTGGGGTTTTGGTTGGGTTGTTTTTCGAGGGTGGGCCGGAAGGCACGTTGCTCACACAAAAGCGCAATTTAGTTTCCAGAGGATCGTGTGGACTGTGCGGCACCCTGCTGCCTGGGCCCCTTCCTTTTTGGCCAACTCTCCAAGTGCCACACTTCTTTTTCTCCTTGCAGCAGTGTTTGTAGTTTGGTTGCCACTGCTCCGGCATTGGCTCCTGCGGGGCATCTTTGACAGCCATAAAAAAGCACGCCATTTTCTTCTTTTGGAAAACTTTTGTGTAATTTTCATTTTGCGCTTGTCGCGTGTGTCTTTCCCTGCCCTCCACCACCTACCTACCTATCTCTCTGCCTCGGCTTTATGTGCTGTTGCAGGCAACGAACAACGTTGTTTTTCCCCCTCCAGATTTTTGGCAAGTGGCACAGCACACAAATACACAGGGACAGACACAATACTACTCGTACTTCAGACAATGTTTGCACATACAACTTTCCGTCCGGACTCCGGACTACGTACTACGGACTACGGACTACGGACTGTGGACTTTGGACGTTCCCTTGCCGCAATGCAGTGAATCCGGCAGGGCTCTGCTCCCCCCTTTGGACCAAGCCAACACGTGACTGACCTCCTCTGGCCGGAAGAGACCCAATCGGAGCCGCCATTTTCATTTGTTGATGCGGTCGAACTTCATCCGTGCAGTGCTCTTTTTCGGCCACAAAATGTGAACATCAAATATTGAAAACATTTTCTTTTCCCGCTCCGCTCCGGTCCGCTCCGCACCCCGATTTTATGGCGGCGCCTGGTGCCCCTGGTGACGTGGCCAACAAAAAACCGCCTGATTGGTTTCTTGGCAACAAAACCCCCACCAGACTGCAGCGCCTGTCACGTTGTTTATTCAACCCAACTCGACTTGCAACTTATTGCAACGATAGCTTTGATTTTGGCACAGCACAGACAACAGCAATTGGGAGCAACTGTGTCCTCGGAATGTGACTCGGATTACCGTGCAGCACCAGACCATGTGACTGACTGTCTGCTCTGTTTTTCGATTTGTCAAAGGACTCATGACACTTAAACTATTAAACCAACAGATTTACTAAGAGCTTTACTAATATATGTTACTAGAATGTAAAGACCATCGATATATCCGTTGTCTTCCTAATGCGGGGAGGGGAAACTTTCGCTATTGCAACTTTAAATTCCTTACAAATCTTTTATTATTTCATTATACATATATGTAGTACGTGAGGTGGTTGTGGCTCCCACATTAATTTCTACCATAAATTACATTGCATTTCTTCTCTTTTAATATTCTCTTTGGATCTTCCCATCTGCGCCTGACCCCTTAAAGTCTCCACCGCGGTGCACCGTTGCCTGTGGCCGCCTCAATATAATTTGCTTAGTTTTCCTGCACTTTTGCCGGCAGAGTTTGTTCGTTGTCGCAATGCCATAAATTCTGCAACTTATGCGGCCAACTGGCCGTCTCCCAACACTCCCCTCTCCCCACACCGTCTAGGGCTATAAATTACAAGAGGCATTTGCCACACTTCCGTTCGGTGCCTGCTCCTGCTCCTGGCTTGCATTGGTCCGGTGTGGTCTGGACTACCAGTTACTCTTTGAGATATTTGTGTGCCTTAAATCGGCTTAACCAGGGGAGTTGCTAGTTGTGCTGGTTCATCTGTTCTTGCCCCACCCCGCCCAAAAAAAAGGGGCTTGCTCAAAATCAATAACTACATACACAAAGCAACGTTTTACATATCCCCAACAACTGTTCCGGTTCTCTGGTCTGGTCTGTCTGTCTCTCCCCATTGTTGTCGCCGTTGTCCATGGCAATAACATTTAAATAGCCACGAAAGCCCACCCCACACCGGGGGAAAGTTGGGGAAAGTTGGTGTGCCCTTGTGCAGCTTCTTGAAACTCACCTTTCGAAAAGCCTGAAACTTTAACACTTCAAACTGCATTCGATGGCATGGCTAACAACCCCAGACTTGGGCCCCAACTCCGCCAGACAGCGCCCATGTACGTACATAGTTTCTGTCGTCTGGCTTCGGTCTTTGCAACGTGAAAATGGCAGAAGGGTAGAGCCGTACAGCCGTACAGCCGTACAGCAGTACAGCCGTAGAGTCGTAAAGTCGTAGAGGAGTGGGAATGGTAATTCTAGCCCAGACATCCACTGGCGACGCTTTGTCTGTCAGCCCCGTCTGAACACAGAACCAATGTGGCAAAAACGATTTATTTGGCTTTATCAGCAGTTTTTGATTTTCTTTTGTCTCCTTTTCAAAGAGAGTCGCATTAAATCGCTCCTATTTTTTTCGATCGTTTTCTCTGGCTGCGGCGATTTGTCATATCGCTGATTTACTAACCTTACACCAGGCATTATCTCTTGGCAAAGGAGCCAAGAGCCCATACATACATCCATACCATACCATACCATACCATACCATACCATACCATACCCCAATGGTGGAATCCACCCCTGCTAAGTGAGCAAAAATAACAAAAAAAAAAAAAACCCCCCACTAGCGGAGGGTGGTTTGTTCGTTCCAGAGTTTGCTGAGGGTGTAGCTAACCGGCACAAGTGCAAGGCAGGGCAGGGCAGGGCAGGATATGTACATATGTATATGCGTGTCTCTTCAATGTGTTTGTGTGTTTGCGCATATCGCCGGCATCAACATAAAATTTATTGAGGTAGTTACCAAGCCAAGCCAGGCGAGCGGGTCCTTACTTGACTGCTCTACAGTGCAAACAACAAACACAAAAAACTAAAAGAAGGAGAAAAAAAAAGTAAAAGAGTTCTTCAGCATGCAAATTCTGGTTTTTTGCATGTGCAGCGAACAGAGTTGCCACCGTCGAGCAAACAGCGGCAGCGGCAACCCTGTTGCCACAACAAACATCCATAAAAAATGATGACAGAGCAGAGCAGAGCATAGGCAGAGGCAGAGTAAACACACAAAAACAAAAAGTGTTGCAAATTGAAAGCGGTTTTAGGCCAGACCAGCATGGGTCCGGGTCAGGTCCGGCGAGAGCCACTCACCTGAATAGCTTCGCTCTTGCTTTGTGCACGAATAGAAGGAAGTCTTTAAAATTCTTTTTTGGAATGTATAATGATATTGGACGAGGATTGGGTCAGAGCCATTGCTTTGTCTGTCATTCTGCTGCAGCCAGGAATCGAAATGTTCAACTATTCTGGCTTCCCCCATCTATGGCACTGTATCGTTCGACGGTTACCTTCTATCAGACTCCCATCAGCATCAGAACAGATCAGACCCATCAGACACTGCATGTGGCCAAGGAGAGTTGCTCCGCGTACGAGAAGTAATTCTGCATACATATATCGATATGTTCTAGGTGCCGGGCCTCCCCCACTAATGGAATTTCACATATTCAGGCTTGACAGTATCACCCCCCCCACCAACTGTACCAATCTCCACACTGCCCGTGTTTATTATTCATTTCCTTGGCAGTGGCTCGATAAAAACGCTTTTCCTGCACATTTTCATGGCATCGCCCGCTGAGAGGCGCACAATGCAGGCAGGATGAACCCCTCCGCCCCCCATGGCTTTCCCCCACACGCCTGCGGTTGTCGCCAACACTTTCCACTCACGGGCACACAGAGCACACTGGGTTTCACGCTCATGCTTTGTCATGGGAAGGAGGAGGCAGGACCCAGAGAATGGGTTATGAACAGCGATAGCTGTTTGTTATTGCTTTAACTGGTTGACTGGCTCCGGTTATTGTTATATGTATATCTTGCATTGCATTTGGATGCCTTTCCCCCTCCACCGGCACTGCAGTTGTCATAAATATGTGTTGCGCTTTGCATTTGCCCGCACTGGAAACCTTTTATGAACTCCGGTACAGAGCAGGGAAACTTCCTTTGCAATTGCAAACTCTACAACTGGGCTACACAATTTATGAAATACGGCTTTGGCATAGCATTTGCATCAGATCATACACTGAGAGCATTTACCTACCTACTTTTCATTGGTGGCACTCCAAAGGACTTGGCAAACATTCACCTACACTAATAGTAGGGTGTCCACCCCATTTAATGTACATATGTAATGTATCGCCTGGGATTATCCCATCCTAGTATCGAATCGAGTTGGCAGCCCAGACTTTGCCCAAACTGTCAAACGTCAGCGGGAATGATTCGGCATTGCTCAGGTCGGGCTCACAAAATTTTATTCCTGTTTCTGTTCAGTTGTGAAAATTGTATATCCGTCTTACGAAACGTTTCGGAACAAAAATAGTTTTCATTGAATTGTGCTCTCAGGGAAGTTTTCAGTGCCAAATTAAAGAAATTAATTTACCAAATTGATTCAAGCCGAGTGCAAGCGAAATTTCAAGTCACCACCGAAAAAAATAGGAAATTTCCAATTGTTGGTTTTTGGTTTAACTTTTGCATTGGTTCCTCCGTCCTGCTCGTCTAGAGATGAGGGCCGCCACCGCCTTCCACGCCCGGAGGGCATCAGCTGGCACTTCTGAAAAGCGTGTTGTAGGAGTTCCGTCCCGACTTTTTCGGAGTCGTTCAGTCAGTGAGTAACTCATACACACACACACACACACACACACACACACACACTCACACAACATACTTATGCACAGAAAGCAGAGCGGTATCAATCGAAAAAAAAAGTATTTCAATGTCAGCGGAGAAAGAACGGAATAGAGGGAATAGCAAAAATTAGCGAAAGGCAACAATGCCGCATAATAAAAAAAAGAGCGAGAGGCCCGTCCGTTGGACGACGTCAAGCAGGCAGCAACAAACAAAAAAGTCGAGCACAAAAAATGCCTCATAATTTCTGATCAACCGCACTCTCTCTCGCACGCTATAGTAGCTCCCTCTCCCTCTCTCTCTTGCTATTTCTTGGCCGCTCTCACTGTTTGCTGATTTTATTTTCTTGCACAAAGTTACGCAATTATCGCTCTCGGTTATAGATTCTCATTTCTTTCGTTTCGTGTCGTGTCGTGTGTTGGTTGTCGCTGCAGCAGCTTTTGCTTCGTTTTTTGTTTGAGAAACGTCACACACACACACACACACACACAGACACACACATGTATAAATAGATATGCATGTATGCATGTTATACTGATAATATTTTCGCCAGCTTCGATAGATTTCCCCCCTCGCGTACCCTTGTACATACATACATATGTGTGTGCGTTCGTTCGTGTTTTGGCACTTGACAACCGCGGAAAATATGCATTTTCATTATGAGACGGAGAGTCCAAGTCGGCTGCGCATCATAAATATTCATTTATGATAAATTAAATTGCCCAATGCAGCTGCAGTCCTCCTCCCCAAAGCAGTTTTCCTCATGTTTCCACATTGCAAATGTAGAAACAAGCAAATAATACATGCATAAATAAATACATACAAACATACATATGTGCAATGTAGATAAATATTCTGGATCCGAAGACTTGTATACTCTTCTTCGTTACAATGGCAGCTACATGGCTGGCAGCTGTATGTACATATGTATGTACATATGTGAATAAGTTCCGAATTGGTGAAATTTCAAATACTTTTCATACAATCGATTATTCTTATTGCCTTATCGGTTGGGAAATAAGCTCTGCGAGCGAGTGGGCCCAACCGGAATACCGGCTGAAAGGGTATAATGGCTGACAGGTTTCTGCCTGAGGTGTTTGCAGATAAGCAGAGTGAAAAATGTCTATATTTAATTGAGCCTCAATACAATCCAAAAACCAGAAGCACTGCTGCCAAGACTTTAACCAGTTTAGACACACTAACACAGATTTATACCCCCACCCGTGAAGGCGAATGTGAATTCTGGTTGCCATGGCGACTGCTACTACTACTACGTCACGGTTATCGCTATCTCGAGTCGGATCTATTATGGGTAGCATCGCGTATACGCACTATTCGCGACGCGCCTCTCTCTGCCCCTCGATTGTTTACATTTGGACTATTCTCGCACGTTGCTCTCTCTTTCTCTCTGTCTCTTTATCATTCACGCACTTTTTATGTGCGTCGCGTCCCACTGCCAGATCGCCAGATCGTTTTGTTTGGAGTCAATGAACTTTTTGGCAAACGTGCTGCCCCTCACACGCACTTTTCTCTCACACTCTCTCTCTCTCTCTCTCTTTCCGGGTCTGTTTCTTTATTTTTTCCATGTGTATGTGTATGTACGTATACGTACCCATGCCGGGTGCGTGCGGCGATGCGTAAGCTGCGAAATTTCTGTTTCGCGAATTCTCGCGACCCATTTCCAAAACAGAAACAACAATTTGTAGCTATGTACATATTTCACTTTTCTACAGTCTCACGGCGCGTTCGTTGAACTCCTCAAGGTAGCAAATGTGCGCTGACTTGGGAGCAGGTCGGGCTACAATAAGTAGGTGCTTCTTCACTCTGCACTCAGGGGATAAGAGTTACATTAAGTGCTGAAATAAGAGCAAATTCCCTTTAAAATAAATGTCAAACAAGTTTTCTTTTACTAACTATGGATCCACTTCAATGTAATATTTTCTTGCAGAAATGGCGGAGGGTAATGGCGAGCTGTTAGATGACATTAATCAGAAAGCCGATGACCGTGGCGATGGCGAACGTACAGAGGACTATCCCAAGCTGTTGGAGTACGGTCTGGACAAGAAGGTGAGTTCCCGTTCCCCAGGAGGTCCCACTGTACTGTACTATGTATATGTAACTCCCGAATGGAACATTTTTGTATGATATGTATATGCGTAGGTCGCTGGCAAACTGGATGAAATTTACAAAACCGGCAAACTCGCTCACGCCGAGCTGGATGAGCGCGCCCTGGACGCGCTCAAGGAGTTTCCCGTCGATGGTGCCTTGAATGTGCTGGGTCAGTTCCTCGAATCGAACCTGGAGCATGTGTCAAATAAGTCCGCCTACCTGTGTGGCGTGATGAAGACATACCGACAAAAGAGTCGGGCTAGCCAACAGGGCGTGCCCGCGCCCGCCACTGCCGTACAGGTGAAAGGTCCCGACGAGGACAAGATCAAGAAGATTCTCGAGCGCACCGGCTACACATTAGATGTGACGACAGGTGGGTCTACCTTGGCATACGATGGTCTGGTTAACTTATCCAAATCTAACCATCAACTTAAGGTCAACGAAAATATGGCGGACCGCCACCAGACTGGGAGGGCAACGTGCCCGGCAACGGATGCGAGGTGTTCTGCGGCAAGATACCCAAGGACATGTACGAGGATGAGCTCATACCGCTCTTTGAGAACTGCGGCACAATCTGGGACCTCCGCCTTATGATGGACCCGATGACAGGCACAAATCGTGGTTATGCATTTGTCACATTCACAAACCGCGATGCGGCCGTCAATGCAGTGCGCCAGGTATTTATGCCAACCATTGAATCGCCCCACCACAAACCCACCAGCCCACCAGCCCCAGCCCACCCGAACAGCAAACCAATCCCCGTCCACGCCCCTGAATCAGTGCTTTAATGTTTTTATACGTATTGTTAACTATTACCGATATATACATATCATCCTATATATACTATATACTACATCTATAACGTATTGTATCCACATATTTACTCTCGTGTTACGAAATCGGAACAAGTAGGAACAGCTATGCGGCCCACAAAAAACAACTGAATTCGACCAAAATAAAATGCAACATTTGCGGAAACCAAACTTAAAAAAAAAAAGATAAAAGAGAAAACAAATCCAACGATTCGGTGCTTTTAGATCCAACGAGAAAAATTGTGTGCAATTTTATTTAGTTTTTACCTACCGTATGCTAACTTTACAGTTACTTTCTGCTGTTACTCTGTACCTCTGCCAATGCCTAGCCTTGATCTATAAACAAATTTGAACCATAGGCAACGCTATCTGTCTCACTATCTGCTGTCACTTACTCTTTTTCTCGCTCTACTTGATCTTTCTGTAACTTGTAATGCATGTCCCGTCTTCTACTACATACAAAACATATATATATATGAGTTGTAATATTTAGTTAATCCGAAAAAATCTCTCCCAGCGCATTGAAATCGTTCAAATTTCAGATTTGAAAAGAGTTCTCTCTATCTATAAAGAACAAGAAACAAAAACCGAAAGAAAAAAACAATCTGGCCTCCCTCTACACACACAACACACACACACACCCAACCAACCAACCCCCCTGTCTATTTCTGTATTATTTGATATACTATTTTCTTTTTAGTTGAATTCTATTTAATCTTAAGTCGAGCTATGTAGCTATCAACTTTTGTAGTCATCTAAGCAGCGTGCGTGTTCGATTACTGTCTGGTTTTATTTAGACGAGCATGTCCCCAAAATTCAGAACGTGATATACATATGATATCCAGTATATCATGTACCTTATTAACCACTTAATCACTAACCAATAAAAACAACGTTTTCCTTTAACATTTTCCAAAAAAAAAAAACAATAAAAAAACTCAACTGACACTCTATGCGGCCCGGCCCCGCTTCGATATGAAATTGGTAACGCAATGAAAATTACTTTTCAAACTTTTTTTAGTTAACCTTCTCCAAAAAAAAAAAAAATCCCCACCCTTTAACTGATTTATTTCCAAATTGATGATTAGTGCTTATGATTTTTTTGTATTATTATTTATTATTAACAGTGAATTGGTATTAAAAAGAAAACTCGTTTTACCTTCCCTTCCACCATTTAGCTCGATAATCACGAAATAAAACCCGGCAAGTGTCTGAAAATAAATATAAGCGTACCGAATCTGCGCCTTTTCGTAGGCAATATACCCAAGTCAAAGGGCAAAGATGAAATTTTAGAGGAATTTGGTAAACTTACAGGTAAATTGTCAAACAAAATTAACAACAAAAATGTATTTTAAATTATCATCAATTGGAGTGGAGTTTGGATATCTATCGGCTCCATACTCCAAAATCGGCTTTAAATTGAAAAACAAAAATCCAATTGGCTAATGAAAAATAATACTTGAATTGGCTAATTGCGGGAGGACAATAGCGAGGACTTCTGTTAGGGTTAGGTTAGGAAAGGGTCGTAGGATTTGGAATTAAGTTTCAGTATAAATAATTTTATATTTATTTTTGTTTCACAACTCATTCTTACTATTCACCCCAACACTTCAACAACCATCCATCCATCCACCCACCAAAAAACACCCAAACATCCGCCATTGCCATCTCCACATTTGAGAAAACGTAATGTTGAAAGGCATTCCCCCTTACCCTTTACCCCATGAAACCCATGCTGCCTGAGACACTCTTTTCAAATGCGCGCGCCCTCTAATGCGATAGAAACCTCACCAAAAACCACAATCATCATCGGATGCATTCCTATGTTTTATCTTTTAGGTTGCCTCATAGCACAAACACACACACACACACACACACACAAATCAATCACGTTCAGATACACGCATAGAAACAATGACACGCCCATTTCAGTCATTGCCATTCGTTATAAGCTTAAATTGTCGTACAAGAATATATCTTTTCATCCTATTTATACATAATATCTCCAGTCATTAACTTTGCCTACGAAAATGAACCAAAAACAAAAAAGAAGAAAAAACCAAACTGAAAAAGAAACAAATTTTTTAAATTATTTACCAAATTAATATGCATTCCAAAACTTTCGTTTTCCATTATGTTCTATAACTACTACTATTCCACATTGTAAGAAAGCAGGCTACTACTACTACTATCAAATATTACGTATACGCAGAGTTGAGTGTTCAAGCTAGAAAGTCATTTGATTAGAAACGAAATTAGCAAAAGCAAAGGTAAGATCTGGTCGGTAAGGAATGACTTTCTGGCTGTAAATACAATATAGAACATGCCTGCAGAACTTGCCGATATGTTTTTTTTGGTTTTTTTTCTTTCGAACTTATAATTCTGCATAGTAAGTACTAGACCAGTAGTGACAACAATTAATCAACATCAACTCAACTGGAAACTAGCTGAAACAGTCCAACCAAATAGCTAAAGAAATCAACATTTTTTGAGTAAATTCCATTTTTATTTGGCACGCATACAAAGTATAAAAAGAAAACCTACTTAAGTCTAGATTCTAGAGTTCCACACATTCTCCCACATATAAGAATATTACCAATACCATCACCCAAACCCATACACACATACGAACACACCTGCCACATTATTCGCCCACCCTAAACCAAACCAAACCAAACCAAAAAAAAAAAAAGAAACAACCAACAAACCAAATACCCAAATCAATCCAAAATCAAATCGCAGTACCAATGGAATACAAATTTTTCATAGCAAACCAAAATTTTCTTTTGTTTTGTGTGAACTTTTAAACAATTGCAGCTAAATGATTTTGAAATTCGGAAAGGCAAAAAGATTGGTGTTACGATATCATTTAACAATCACCGGCTATTTGTCGGCAATATACCTAAGAATAGAGATCGCGACGAATTAATTGAGGAATTTTCTAAACATGCACGTAAGTGATCCAAAAACCAAACAGCAACAACAACCAACCACAAACAAAGCAAAAGACCCCAAAAAAAAATAATAATACCTAGACCCTAGACCCTAGACCAGCACATCCCCCAATTGGCTCCCACAATTGGCCGAAACGAATTTTATTCATATAAAATATATAAATAATCTAATCAATGTTTTTAGGGGCGATACTTGCAGAATGTAAAAAGAGCATGGAAGCCTGTTATCCCAAGTATCAATTGGATTTTTGTTTTGCAATTTTCGCTTTTAAAACGCTTAAACAACTCAAATTGATAACAAAATTATTATACACTCCAAAAAATCCCAAAAAAAAAAAACATTAAAAAAATCGAACTGCATCCTAACCAGAGACCAGAAACAAGGCAGGGCTTCCATTGAACCGAAAGTAAAGAGCGAATAACTATCCCTAGTTATCCGATTATGAAGCCCTGCCTTTGGGTCAATTGATTTTAACCTATTTCTCTCTGTCATTCTCTATTCTCTCTCACTCATTCTCTCTAACGTTAAGCGCTGTTAGTAAATACAACAAAAAATTAATTGTTTTATCATTTTTAGCTTCATTTTTCCAATTATTAAATGTGCCCAATTTGTTGACGTTGAAAACCTGTAGCTAAAACAATTCGCAAAAACAAAACAAAAAGAAGCAAAACATTTTTGAATATTTTTGAAAAAACAAAAGCAAAAAAAAGGGACAGACTTAGTTTTTGTTTTAGTGCAGATTTATATATACGATTATATCTTAAACTATATATACAATATAGATAACAAACGGCGCACACCAAACAAACCGAAACCAAACCGAATCAAACGATCCCGCCCTGAAACCAATACCAATACCAAAACCAATACCGAATCCAAAATAAGAAAAAGCAATTCGTCTACTCAAATCGATATGTTCTGGCCTATTCACGTTGAATATATATAATATACAATACTACTTAATGACTGGAGACAACAAGCCTTTAAAAAGAAAACTCATTTTACTCTATCTCTATGTGTAACTATCTATCTCTCACATAAGCGCCACTACCCCCTGAGCAATCGAACCAAACGAATTAAATCCAATCGATATATGAAACTACTCGAAAACAAAATTCAAAATCTCTGTCCATATTTTGTTGTTTCGTTCGTTACTGTTCTCTCTCTCTCTCTCTCTATCGATCTCTTTTTGTATCTCAGTGTACACAGTTCTCTCTCTCGCTCTCTCTCTCTCTATATATATCTCTATCTCTCTCTCTTCCTTAATCTGTCTAACTCTGGCTATGTTTGTGTATAGTTTATACCCATTATTGTTTCCATTACTACTACTCGAATCGAAAAGAATCCCCCCAGCTCAATGTGTGCTCTACTCGTACTCGTACTTCGTGTTGTGTTTTTGGTTATACATCGATTGTTCTCGTATTCCTTTTTTGTTGGTTACTTTTGTTCGTTTTACTGCCACATGTACTATAAATATATACAATCAAACAAACAACAACCAAATAGCAATACCAGAGGTTTTTTAAGTGTTTTTCTAAGTGTGTGTTTCGTTTTACAATACTCTCTAAACGTACTCTACATATCCTCCTATCCGTTACTCAATGTTATACCCCCGCTCTCTCAGTAAAACTTTGTCTTCAAAATCTCGATCCTTGCATACCCTACTACCCTACTATCCACCCGTACACACAAAATACCTAAAATGTTACTAGCTTAGCCGCATTCAATTATTCAAAAATATTTCAAAAAGTTTAAGCAAAAGCAAATTAAGCAATTGTTGGCATTGGTTTTCAAAATCAAAATACAATATACAATATACATGCGTACATATATTTTGTTCAAAAACAGATTCGGATATCGGAAAGATTCATTATTTTACATAACAATGATAACCGTTGCTTGTCATGTAAAATTTTGTGCATTTCTCTTCAAATATTCCATATTTTTCCTATACATAGTGTGTATGTGTTAAGAGTGTGTCTCAGTGTCTTATCACATCTACTCTCTCTCGCTCTCACACACACACACACACACACACACACACACACACTTTGATACGCACACACTTGCCAATACCAATACCAAATACAAATACTTTTTTGTTGTATTTCATTCGTTGTATTTCTATTTTTACATATGCAACCAACTAATCATAAATTGCATTCGAATTGATAGCGTGATTTCTATTCCACCGTACTTAAATGACATTTTTTTTTATATTTATAAATAAATCTGAACCCGAATCTGAACCTATAGCTGGCCTTTACGAGGTGATCATATACAGTTCACCAGATGATAAGAAAAAGAATCGCGGCTTCTGCTTTCTCGAATACGAGTCACACAAGGCGGCATCTTTGGCCAAACGAAGACTCGGCACTGGTAGAATTAAGGTGAGTATCCCCCCATCAGATTCATACATATATCATCTATACGATATACCTATCCATACATAACGAATTCATTTCTTTAAAAGGTATGGGGATGTGATATAATAGTCGACTGGGCCGATCCACAGGAAGAGCCAGATGAGCAAACTATGTCTAAGGTTAAAGTTCTTTATGTGCGAAATCTAACCCAAGACGTCACAGAGGAAAAACTTAAGGTAAGTTATCAAAAGCTTTTACTGATTCATCAATTTTAGTTCTAAATCCAATCAATCAATAGGAGCAATTTGAGCAATATGGCAAAGTAGAACGCGTTAAGAAAATTAAAGACTATGCCTTTATACACTTTGAGGATCGTGATAGCGCCGTCGAAGCTATGCGTGGCCTTAATGGCAAGGAGATCGGCGCCTCGAATATTGAGGTAGGTTCTACAATTACCAAAATCCCCAGATGAGCCTCTATTTAACATCTTTCTTCCCCCCATAAATCTTTAGGTCTCACTCGCCAAACCGCCTTCAGACAAAAAGAAAAAGGAGGAAATTCTGCGTGCACGTGAACGTCGCATGATGCAAATGATGCAGGCCCGCCCCGGCCTTGTGGGGTATGTACTTCCAGCTCCTTTACAGTCCAATCATGTCTACACCTGAAATATTTGCACGATCCTTGTCTAGCACAACAACAATATACAAAATACACACTGGCGACAAATTCCAAATCGCAAAAAACGAAAGAAAACAAAGATAATGCAAAAATTGCTGCATTCCATTGGGCAAATTTAATTTCGTCAAATCCTAAATTGAAAAACCAGAAATATCTGAGTGTCTGTTTGCTTTTCAAGTCGCCTGCCACTAGCTTATCCTGAGATCGAATTAATTTATTTTACTTTATATTTTCTTTCTTTTATTCTTTCTTTGCCCTTCGTGAACACGTGGTTTACCGCAAACTTCCACACAACCCACTCCAAACCAAACCAAACAAAAAATTTATACTCAATCCCATCTTGTTCCATATGGGGTAATCCTTGTAAAGATTTGAAACATTGTCTCCATACAGAAATCTGTCGCCGACACATCCCAGCATGATGTCCTTGACGCCCATGCGCCTGCCAGGTGCGCGCATGCCGCTCCGTACGCCGATACCTCGCGAATACGGTAAGTTTGGCAAATTGGCCAAGTGACTCCATCAGATACATTCTAGATGTCCATATGTATGTATATGCATATACATATGTATGTATATACTCGAACCATCTCTGCCAGATGATGGGGTAGATGCAGATGATGATGATGATGGTGCAGAGAGCGAAGGCCGCAAGCGCCTTCCTTTGGGAATCAACACAATTGAGCAAAAACAAAAAAAAAATACTTTATAACTTTTGTTAATTTGGTTTAGTTTTCGTAGTCAGTTAGCCAAGTTGTTAGGCACACTCACAAACAACACACATATACTAACACCCAAACATATAAACATACACTTACTTGCATATATATATATATGGCGTATAATGAGCTGCCCCATCCGGTACTTATTTGATAGGTTTGTGTTCTAGTTCTAGTTATAGTTGAAAGTCTAACCAAAGTACGCAACTCTTGGAGCGCAGGTGCTGCAAAGTTTAAACATAGCATATAACACTAATCCGGTCTGCAGTTTAGGTCTTAAGTTATACCAATATCATGTCCACCATTGAACGCAACCTTTTGTTCTTATTTTGGTTCATCTTCTTGATTATTGTTTCTGTTTCTGTCTCGCCTCATCATTTTAGTTAGTTCTTTAAGGCGCGCTCTACCCACTAACAATGTACGCTCGTCCCCCAGACCCCTCTTACCACCTCTCACACACACACACACACACACACACACACACGAGATACCTAGAGCCCTTTAAAGTCACGCTTAGCACTGCCCTCGAGCCCCAAGACCCCGTCGTGTACTCTTTTGAAAAAGAATCCAGCTAGATTAAGTCTACTAAACCCCACTAACAACTCTCAACTCGCATCTCAAACGATGAGATCGAAACATTGGCAACCAATTGAAACATAACCTCACTTTAACCTGAACATAACCTCACTTCTCACTTGTTTATATGTTTTTTCTTTTGTTTGTTGTTTCATTGTACTAATCGTAAATGTTGTTGGTTTTTCGTTCTTCAATATTCGCATTTGCAAGTTATACATATGACGATATCGCTCTTTATCTCTTTAAACCTAACTCTTGTTCTATTTTCCGTTTTTTTTGTTTATTTGCATGTCCGTTTTAAGTTCTTTTTCGATGTTGTCGATTCCTTTTTGTTTTTTTTCAACTCTCTCCTTTCGTCCCACTCCTACTCCGAACTCCGAACCCGGTTCAACTCTCTCTGTATCGCAGCCAAGTGCAAAGCAAACAACTACAACATTACCTACTCTCTCTCATAATCAAACCGAAACCAAATCATCCACAACCAAAACCAAAACCCACCCACCCATAGAACATTAGCCATTAAACCTTAAACGTTGTTCATAGTTGTTTATGATAATTAAATGTTGCAATTGTGTTCTCTGTGTAGCGAATGTTAAGCACCCTGTATACTGTTTGATGTTATATCACCGGTAAGTAATCCTCAAGTCTCATCTACTTAAACCATACGACCCCATACACGCATACCAATTTTGATGTGTGTGTTTGTTTGACCACCAGCCCCACCCTCGCCCTGCCCCGCCCCAGCCACAGATCCAATACCCCAAACATGAACCTACCGACATATCCACACCTCCTTTGAACATCCTATTGCGTTACAGTACGCGCCCAATTCGTGGAACATTGGCAAAAGTGAAACAATTGGCAGCATCTCAACAGCTACGAGGAGCTTAGAATAGGACTAGGTCTCAGCACTCACCCTAACGGGGACTCATCACTAATCTAATCCCACCTTATCCCCCCTTCCCACCACCATGTCCTGCACAACATTATTTAGAGGTCGATTACGACTATTTTGGGTACCCGGAATACCGTCCTGGCTATGCCAACAACGAATCTTATTATGACGATCTCTACCGCACCTATGAAGGTGATTACAATTTCTATGATTACCCGAACGCCTCAAATGCCGGCAGCAGCGGTGGCACCAGTCTCGGATCCGGAGTCGCTGGGGCCTCAGCAAGTGCCACGCATCGTCCATCGAGACAACAAGCAGGTGGCTCGAGCCACTCGACCAACTCGTCGGCCGTTATGGTGCGTTATAAATAGACTTTTTTGGCTACTCCCGAATCGGACAACAATCAGAACAACCAGATCACACGCACACAGAAACACACGAGAATTGTAGAACATATTTGTTAATATATATATTTCATTTTATATGTTCGAGCCTTCAGTTACAAAGAGTTGCTTCTTCTTTTAACCAAACGTAGAGTTGAAATATATTTTGAATATTATATTATTTTGTATATTTATATTTTTTTGGTCTTATAATGCTTTTTGTTTTATTTTGTTTGGCTTAACGGATGCTTTAATTGCCCAAAACTATATTTTCTTCGTTTCGTTTACAAAGTCAAAATTTGCACGTTACCTGATGCTGAAAATTCTACCACACCAACACGCTCACCCATACGCACCCAAAAAAATACAGCACACCACGCCACGCCCACACTTATACACCCACACACACACACACACACATGTGCACGCCAAATGCTGGTGAAAAAAGAAGGAGTATATATTCGCTGCTTGTATCGCTTTGTTTCGCTTTTGTTCTGGGACAAATCCCAGGTCCACACAAACGAGAGATCCGCATCGCCACGCCGCCATTGACAATTTAACAATTTGTGCTTTAATCTTATGCTTTGCTTGTACATACATCATACTATATACCCGCTACATAATTTATACCCTTAATTGCACAACCCATCGCCATCGCCCTGTCAGGCTTAATTAACCATTAATTATAAATTTATGAGCTGAACACAGCGTGCTCCCGTTATAATTTTAATTCGTTTTTTAGCAATTAAGTGAAGCGCTTTTTAGTTTTAAATATTATTGCATTCTTTGATGCGTCGCCCTATATTGTTATTATTATTAAATTTACATTTACATTTAAATTGCTGCCAGTGCTTTAATAAACCATTAACCGCATACGCTTATTGTAAATCCTAATTTTTAATCAAATTTACAAACTTGGTAAAGTTATTTTTGTTTCAATATTGTGTCAATCGCAAGAGGAATAACTTTTGTTGCTTGGACATACTACCAACACATAGACGTGTCAATCGCCCCAGATCGATCCGTTGTTATAAGTATATTATAATATCCGATTGAAGCAAGACAAGACTAGTTAAATAAATGTTCACTCAGCTCACTTGATACAGAGAACAAATACATTTTATTAGTATACAATAATATTTTCAACATCAGACGTATCTCTATATCAATATATACATATATCTTATATGCATACATTACATCGTGTATGTACAATCAAACAAAAAACAGTTTACACCAAGAATCTAACGCGTTTATTTCGATTTTTTCTTTTCTTTTCTTTCTTTTTATGTGTTCTTGTTATATACTTATCTATATACAAACAATTCATTTGTTTTTCGGTACAATATGACAAAACAAAAACAAACAAAAATCTTGAAAAATTATATATATGTTCGTCAAAAACCAAAACCAAAACCAAAAAAATGCCCACACTAAAATTACGAATTCTATATCTCTGCCATTTACCTAAATCGATATCAAAACAAAACCAACCAACGACCAAAAAAATCAAAAATCAAAAATTAAACCAAAAAAAAAAAACGATTACCTTTCTTTTTCGAAAACCAAAACCGTTTTTCTGGCCCCACCCCTCCAACCTTTCCGAAAATGAAATCCCAAAACAAATTCGAAATTATCATCGATTCGACTGCCAAAAATTTCCAAATCCAATACCCCAAAACTCCAAAATGTATTTTCATCTTGCTTACTTTCATTTGATTTGAAATGACCAAAATTTGACAATTATCTTGGCGATCCATATATATACAAACACAATTTCAATTATTTATATAATGCAAACTATCAAATTGTAAAATGCAAAACGATTCGAACCAATCTCAAACTTGAAAACCAAAACGAAAACGAAAATGAAATTCGAAAACTTGAAATCCAAAATCAAACCAACAACCGACAACACAACGAATGATGGATAATGATGGATAATGGAACCGAATCTGGAATCACTGTATGAATCCACCTATACACGAACACGCACACATACACACACACACCTCAACCCATACACACATACACACACACACCACACTTAAACCCTAACAAACGCCACGCTCATGCATGATATGATGACGATGACGATAATGATGCCATGTGTGGATTGTGTTGATGATGATGATGATGATAATGATGTTGATGATGACCATATAATAGGGGGCTGGTCGTGGGCATGGAACCACAGTGCAGCGTGGCAGAGTCGCTGGCCAGCGTGGCAGCATCAGTCGTCAGGGGGCCCAAACAGTGCCACAGGCGGCGGCAGCGGCAGCGGCGGCGGCGGGACAGGCGGCGGCGGTAGCGCGGGGGGCCACCGGTCAGGGGGCACCGGCAGCAACCGGGGGGGTCCGTGGGGTGGCACAAACGCGTCACAACGCTCGTGGCACCCAGCACGTCAAGCCGCTACAAAATTTACCAGGTGAGCTCAACAAAAAACAAAACCAAAAAGTACCAAAAAAAAATATAACAACAATCAAAAACTACAGAGATAAAACACAACCACAATCAATCAACCAACAACAAACCAATCGAAACTATCAAAACGAATGAACTCAAAGCTAAATCTCCCAACAACCTTCGTCAAAAGAAAACTGCAAAGACAATCCAACTACAGCAACAACCCAGCAAGAAGTAAATTGCAAATGTCAAATTCATATAAATTAATAAGTAAAGCCAAGTAAAATGTAAAAAACCCATACACCCACCTGCCCACAGCCCACACCACACCACACCACACACACACACTCACACTCACAACCCCCATACTACATACATACATTCATATGTACACTCTCTCTCGCTGATCCATAACGCGCACATGAACCGAAACGAACCCATCGAGCGATACTGTTACTTGTACTCGTACTCGTATTGCTATCGAGTGAATCCCATCCAAAAACCGAACCACCTATACCACCTATACCACCAACTACTCCTTCCGATAACCAACCAGGGAGGGCCCTTCAATGTCGTGTGTCTCGCATTTGTAAAGTTCTAAATGTTGTAAAATTTCTCCCCTATCCCCTACTTTAACCTCGATGTTGTGTTCTTTTTCTATATTTCTAGAATCACAAATTATACAGTTTCCTTTACTTTATTGTGTTCACTGTAGTTGTGCTTTTGCTGCTTACGATTTTTGGTGTGCTGTCTGTCCTCTTATTCGGGGAATGAGTAATATAATTATGAGTTTCATTTCTTTGTGTCAGCGCTGAATTGTATGCTACACTTTTTTGAAGCATGCCCTCTCGTGATTGCTATATCTTTTTCTTTCTTTTGTTTAATTGTAAGCAGCAACACACACACACACACCTAAACCAAGCACCTACGCCCTCACACAAACACACACACACAGTCACACGCAAAACCTATGTATATGGAAAGCCATAATAACAAATTATATGATTATTTAATTGCATATTGATACGGATATGTGCTTAATTATACCATGATCAGTGTCTGCTGTATAAACGTTTATGAATCGATTAGTATATCTCCAATACATACTACATATGTACCTTACACACAAACACACACGCCAGTATCCATTCGCACAAGAATATTGTCACTAACTAACTAAAAGTTAAGCAAGTACATGGAAGATTGTCCCGTTTTTGTCTCTAATCGCCCCACCCTTCATAGAAAGCGAGAAGAATAAAAGAGAGAGAGCCCATACCCTGAGAGGAATCATCCAAAATTTTGACGTACGTGTATATAATTTTTGTTGTTTTTTTTTTGTCCCGCGTTAATCTGTTGGTAATTTTTGGTTACCAGGCCATAAATAATATACTTATACACACGAAATGCGCGTCAAGATTGACTTATTGTTCGATTGCGATTGCACAAACCTATATATTATTTAAAAATATATATAAATTATACTCTAGCCCATTAAATTAACCATATACATACATATATAATTTTTATGTGCATTTCTGTATATCGAGTCGAGAGTCTTGTTAATAATTAATTACCCACCATGCTTTGCTAACCCTGATTTGATTTAGAAAAAAAAAACACAAAGCCAAAGGAAGTGAATAAAAATCAAATAATAATAGTATTAGTAACCTACATAAGCACATACATATGTACATATACATATGTATGTTTGACTCTATATGTATAATATAATAATCACCCTATAATCCATGCCATACATATCATACATATACATATTTCCCCACAGGGTGGCCCGAGTTGTGATCAACTGAAATAGTTTTCTTTGATTTGTACCATACTTTTAAACAGATACTAATCGATTCGTGTATTATGTTCACACACACACACACACACACACCCCCCAAAACGTTCTTATAATTTGTTATCAATGGAGCTTTCTGTATAGCGGAGAACAAACCCTCCCCACCATCTGGATACCTGGCACGCTTTCGAACGTAGATCATCTGCAGCAAAGCGTGACAACCTCCTGAACATATCCCCCCACACGCGTCCACACTCAACTGCTTCAACCTTACTCGCTTTACACTTTGTGGCTGTATTTGTAGATACAGATCGTTTGATTTATCTTTAGAATGCTTCACACAATCTGACTCATCCACACTCACACACACACACACGTACATGCGCTTTGTTTCTGACACACATCGTAAACGTATGATTGACATCAGCAAAATGCAATACCATAAAGACAAAAAAAAAAAAAAAACTAAATCTGTTTCTAGCTGGAGCGGCTCGCAAGACGTACATGGAGGGCAACTAAGCGTAGCACCTCGACCAGCTCCTCGACCAGCGGCGAAAGTCGCCCGCTTGTCAAGAAGCCCAAAAAAGATAGTTCCTCAAGTAGGAAAACCAAGCATTCACACAAGCGTTCCAAAAAGCATAGCTCCAAACACAAGTCATCTCGGTCCGAAAAAAAATCAAGACGGTGGTCTCCATAAATTCCAGAATCTAAATCTCGTTGCAAAGTAATGTTTCAAGCACTATGCAACAATTCAGAACACGCCACCACTTCAATCCATTTGTGTTGGGCAAAAACACTCATCTCACACTGAACACTATGCAGCAGTAAACAATCGAACCCTTAACCAAAGGTTACATATTAATTCGAATCAAAATTCAATTGAAAACGATACTACCAGATGAGGAATTGTCATTGGATATCGGTTTCAAGATTCAAGATTCTAGGACATAAATACACCTCTAACCAATTCCAGATCGGAATCAAACACTCGCCAGATCATATAAGATCAGTTCAGATCAGCTCAAATCAATATTAACTCAGCTAAGAAAAACCCAACACAAAAGGACGAGCGACATTGCAAAATTCAAAATTTTCCCAACGGACAAGTGAAGAAGAAAATAGCTACAATCAAGCACACACATCCCAGACACATTCAAGAACAGCGCTCTATGCAGGAATCGATCGATAGAACGACCGTTCGATTCCTAATATTGTACCCCTGTCCAGTTATTAACGTCACATTCCACAATCTAACTTTTGTAATTAATGTTAAATGTTTTTTGGCAATAATATCATGTGAAATGTTTTACACACACTGAGAAACCAATTCGGAAAATTGTAATTCACCCAAGCACACACTACACATAAATAACACACTCAAACCCCACATCTATTTCATTTTGTGTAAGACCCACGTTATACGTACCTAAATGTATCATACCCCAACCAAGGTCCCTAACGTTATGTCGAATTAACACCAATTCATGATTTTTGATGTGTAAAGAAACCCTTATAGTACGAATGGGATATATTAAATGAGCAATGAATAAACCCGTTTGTCTTTAACATTTTTGAACTGTAACAAAAACCCCTATACTTCTTCAGCTATTATATGCAAGGCAAAAAAAAAAGACTGGAAAAAATGCATCAAATTGTGCGACCAAAAATACAACATCAAGAAAACCTCATTTAAACCATAGCCCAGCTAAAACTTGAACTTTATCAACAACAAAATCAAAAATAATAGAAACCACCTTGAACCATTTTTGTATTAACAATATTTTTAACTCTCTTTCTCTTTTTTTTCTTTCGAAAAACACCTTCAACCACACCCACACACACACACCCACAAACACACAACCAACTACAACAACAACCAAAAATGCTATCTCCGAACAATCAACAAAAACCACCAACAACCAACCACATATGATCATCATGAACCTATGAACCTACAAAACTACTGCAGTAGTCGGTAAACGTAAGTTCGATGGAGGTCACCAAAATCCGGCAGATGTTAAGCGACGTTACCCGAGCGGTTTAATAGGAAATGGCGGCAGTTGGGGCAGTTTACCGCTACCACAGCAACCTTTAGGCACAAATGGTGAACAGTGGTACATGGATACGTTTTCGGCATGGAGTTAGAACAATACAACATCAACATCAACAACAGCAACACCAACAGCAACCCTATATATGATATCAGTTAAAAGCAGCCACACAACATGGAAGTTACAGCCCCAGCAACATCCAATAATAATTTTCACTCGTCGATGTCCTGGAGAAGATCCAAGTAACAAACTCTTAAAAGCAATAAATTCCCTTTAAATAAATTGTATAAACCATAAGAACTACAGCTAGCGAAAATTTTGAGAGATCATTTTGCTTTAGATATCTTCATTTCGGAACCAAACCGATTTCTGTTCGTTTGATTCATTGGAAGCAGTCGATTGTGCTCCTCAAAATAGCTAACAAAAATGCAGAATCAGAATCGGAAGCAGCAACAAATCAGTCGATGAGAATATATATCACTTATATGTATGTAATCACTTATATAGCCTTTGCAGCAGCAGAATTTTAAACATTTTTTCATTTAGTGAAAGACATTTAAACGATTTCCCCCAGAACCATTTTAAAAATCAGAAAAGAGCAAACTCGTATAAACTCGTAGATAAAGAAAAGTCGAATCGTTTTAAAAGTTCACAAAAATATAATGATAAAAACAAATTATGTCTCATAGCGTTTTTAACTTGAAATCGAAACAATAATTGAGCGTATATAGCAACACAAAACAAAACAAAAACCGATATATAAATTTAAAAATATATATAAATATATTTATCTAATAACTATATAGAGAGAGCAGTCTAAGCCCAGTACGGATTGATTTTAAATCTTAAGCAGCATGTAGCACCTTTTTATACATTGAAAATGAATTGCGTAAAACCCAAATTCGAAATCGATTCGACTATATACAGAACCTTTTACATCATGTACATGGAGATTAGCATGAAAAGAGCCTTAAGCAAATTTGACAAAAACACAAGAAGCCAATAGTGCACAAGCAATTTCCCTTTATTGTATATAACCACAGCAATGAGGAGCCAGCAAGACATATAGGAAACCAGTGCATATATACGAGAGTTCAGGTTCAGATTCAGATGAATTGATGTGAACTAAAAAAGTTTAATATTGTAGGGACTTCGAGAGACAACAACAAGAATTCAAAGTGAAAAGCAAAGCTTAATGAAGAAACATTGACTGACAAAAAAACAAAAACAAAAATAAAACAAAAAGTAATAAAAAATTATAAATTAGATTGATTGAATTGATATGAGAATGATAAGAAAATACATACATACAAACAATTTAAATGCACCCAGCATTATTATATAATGACTGGCAGTGGCAACTGGCAAAGACTTTCTGCATAAATTGAAAAACAAAACAAAAAAACTATTTTTTAACGAACCTAAGTTTAGGCAACTTCAAATCAATTAACTGGCAGATGAAAAAGTATATATGTAGGGTTAAACAATTGCACATACACACAAATGCAGATGGTTCCGGAAGCCAGAAATCGGCAAAGCAAATCTCGGAAAATATCTGCCAATTGAAGCAACGAATTAGAAAGACAACACAACACACACACATCACAAGCAGTAAAATTAAAAGTAAAAGTAAAATTAAAACTAATAATAACGATGAATATTATGAATTTTAATAACACAATAATAAATACTTAATATTTACACATATAAACATACAAATTGTGCTTAACTTTCAAAGAAGAAGATAATGAAAAGATAAACGAAGATAAATACAAAAATTATGAAATGAATTAGCCAACGCTCGATTGCGTTTTAGCAGCAAACCTTAACAATTCATAAAACCTAGAAATTCTCCTTAAAAGCCTCTCAACTAATTAACAATTCAGACTCAACTCTCTCCCAATTTTATTGACGAACTCATCTAAGCAGAACTGCTACGCACATATAATATGATATGAATGAAAGTAACGCCCTAAAGCAAACACCACACCTACATACATATATAGCGATCCTTACGATCTAACGATTGTAACAACCTAACTGTAACTCCATGCCTATAAACACCAACAACAACAAACAGCACACACACACACGTGTCAAAATACTTTTATATAGGAAAATCAATTATACAAGAACTTGCCTTGCCTTTCGTTTATTTAGATTATTTTGCAAAATTCAAAACTAAAAACCTTTTTTTGTTGAAATTTTACCTGTCGTTTATGTCTCCTTTTCCGCTATTGCTAGATCTCAAGTAAAGCAACAAGTTAATTAATATTATATATATAAAAAAGAAAAAAATATATAAATTAGTTTTAAACTAACGAAAGAATACTTCCAATTTTGAACTCAAGTATAAAGCAAATACAAAACTGTTGGCCGTTGATGAAGGACAAGGGCGCGTGTGTTTTAAAACGTATCTATGAACATTGTTCAGCATAAGCCTAAACACACCAGTTTTTTTAAATTAAAAGTAAACAGATAAACACACACACACACACCAAGCAGTTGCCTAAAGTAAAAAAAAATAATAAATATAAACTATGAAAACTTGCGCAAAATTTGCAAACCAGCAAAGACTTTAAATACATAATATTAGCCACAAACAATAAGAGGAACATATACAACAAATTCTAAATGACCATAGTTAAGATTACATTTAGTAACACTCACACACACACAAACTCAGACACATACAACAATACATATACACACATAATGTTTAAAGAAACTAAAGTAAACTGTCTTTGTAGGAGAAGGAAGAGAAGTGTGCGCCATTTTCTAAATACAATAACAAGCAGAAAAAAAAATCACTTAAATATTTAACCAGTTTTTTAAAATAATTTTTGATAAGTTTCCTTAGGAATTTTTCTTAAACGATCTATCTTTTCCGGATTGAGAGCAGAGTGTTGCCCTCGAAAAAGAAAGGGCAGAAATCATTTAAAACTTTTATTATGTTTTTTCTCTTTAAACACACACAAACACAGCAAATGAGATAATTTTTTAAGGATGTTATTAACGAAAAATTCTTCAACGCCGCGTATTTTTATCATGCAAAATTTTCGATTTTTCGCCCTTGAAATTTCCACATATTTGGTGACTTTGAACCCTTGAACCCACTTCAAATTGCAAATATATACATATAACTAATTTTAACGATTTGTTTAATTCGATAACTGTACTGATTTTATATTGTTTTAAATTTGTAATTTAATTTGTAAGTTTTTATTGTTAATGTGTTTTTCTATTGTAAACTAAAAACTAAACTAAAACTGTAAACCAATTGGCAAATTGTTACACACTCCGTTAAAGTTTTCCAATTTCGTTGAACTTGATGAAAGTTATGAATTAATGAAATTATCACCAAAATTATGTGCCGTTATTTAGAAACCATTTCTTTGGAAGCCTGAAATTTTCCCACCCATCCCTTAAACCCATCCCCTACCCACATTTCCCTAATTGTGTTAAATATTGTAATTTGTAATTTTTGTTTTAATTTTTTTCGGGAAAGCAAAAACGTTTGGCAAAATTAGTTTTTAATTTGAATATTTAGTTTTGTTTGTGCGCTTAAGTTTTCAATAGTATGTTATATATATATATTAAACTATATGAATATTAATTTTTAGCAAAATATTTTTACGACCTAACACATAAAGCTCTAATGTTAAATACTTAACGTACTAATTTGTTTAACTTTTTAATTGGTTTTACATTTTTGTGTATTTGTGAAGAGGACGCGCAAACAAAATTAATCTTTGACCCAATAACAACAGCAACAACCATAACTGTATACGTGTGTAAATTTAAACTTTCAACAACAATACAAAATATTACAAAGAAAAAAAACATACAAATTTAAAAGAAATCCAATAAAATAAAACATAAGTTTAAGCAAGGTGGACAACAAAATTGCAAACTGCGCATGGAAACTGAGCGAAAAAAATGAAAAACTTTACATGAATTGTGATGATGCAAAGGCAAGATTTAATCATAATTACTAAATCTATATATACATACATATATATAATATATATACATATAAATATATATATATATCTTTCTCTATAAATATATATATATATGAGTATATAATGTATATGTAGGCGTAGGAGTGTATAATCTAACTTAACTTTTAAACAGACTGCGTACGTATTAAAAATTTTTAAAATTAATTTGTGTAAAATGTTTTAAGTTTTGAAAAATTGGCAAATAAAGAAAAAAATAAAAATTAATAAATCAAAACACGACGATCGCATTGTAAATTGAAATATACACAAAATCTCGACCTATTCAAAATTTACTCTCCAAACCTTTTCAGCAAACAAAATCAATCCGGTCATGTATATTTCAAGAATTGGCCTAAGAGCAAGCGCAACTGTTTATAAGGAAAGAGCCAAGAGTGGTACAGGATGCCAAATGCAAGGATCGGCAAGGTCAGGGCAGTTTCCAAAGTTTTTTCGTTACTTCTTTTGTATACATACTCGTAAGAACACGATTCGTATGGGGACAATTTTTATTTCGGACATACTCGTACACACAAGTTAGGTTTAGCTTTGCCACATTTTTACCATTTTGTATCGACTTTTTTTAAACAAATTTTTTGTTGTACTCTACATTTATAGTTTGTGTGTGTTTTCTATGCTTTTAAATTACATATATATCGAATCTATCGAATCATTTTATAAAAGATTGATTTAACAACTAATTGATAAACATCACAGCACATTTGCATGAGTACTACGAGTACATGCTACGAGTACATACATATATGAAAGGGATTCATAAACCGTGAACGTAACGTCGCCAATTATTACGATATAAAATCAAGAGATGATAATTAAATAATAAAAACACAAAATCTATAAACAATCAGAATTCATTGTAGGAGAAGGCAGAAAGACCGAGGGAGAAGAAACAGGAGCAAAAATTTTACGTCTTAATAAACAATTATTGTTAACGAAGAAATTAAAAGTGAGAGAAGCATATTGTACTAAAATATTTGATATACATACATTTGTTATTATTTGTAATATGAAAATTAAATAAAATTGCATCCAGATAATAAAAAATGAAATAAATAAAGAATGCAAAGATCGTCTAATGCTCAATCCCATTAAAATTCCCAAATGAAAGTTCCACACTTTGATCGAAAAAATAAATTACGATTTATTTTTGAAAGTTAACGTTGAACAATATTTAGAAACATTTACTGCGCGACGAGGACTTGCTCCGAGATCCACTGGTACTCGGTCTGGTGCTGGCACTAATGTTGCTGATGTTGTCCGCATCCAGCACTGTCTCGTCCACACTGGTATCGTCTGCGGGTAGCTCTTCGTCGCTGTTCTCCTCGCTGATGAAGGAGCCCACTGGCGTGACGATAGAATATCCATGGAGATCTCTGTTGATCATATTTCCCATGTGGAAGGCGGAGTTACAGTTGTTGACTGCCAGGAGAGCCTTGACTCGAAATATCAGAGTTTCTATGGTTTCGCGAAGACTGGGAATGTAGCTTATGATGGCGGTATTTATGATGGACCTTGAATGACAGCATAGCTGGTGCAGGAACCTGGTCACCTTCTGCAGCTCTTGGAGAAACTTTGTGAGCCTATCAGGATCCCGGCGCACTATGGTCTCCAGCACGGACATACCACGCTGCAGAAAAAGCTTCAGAAAAAGCTGTGAATGCTTGAGGAATAATCCGAAATTGCGTGGCTGCTCCACAAGCTGCACAATATTAAGCAATCCATTCAACAAGTTTACTGTAGACTCCCACAGTCTCAGGCTGTCCCCTTCTTTTTCCGCGCTCAGTTGAGCATTCAACGAGTGTATTAGCACTTCACACAATCCCCGAAACAGCAGCGGAAAGTTGGCTCTGAAAGATATCGTATAATTATCGTTTGAATATCAGCTGATATGTATCGCTTACTTCTTGAAATTTGGAAAGGATATCAGTGCCTTGTCCTTTGTATTTAGTATTTTGCACTCCTTGATGAGCTCATTCAGAAGTTCGTTCTGCCGCGCAGAGGTAGAGTTCTTAAGGAAGCCCTTAACCAGCTCATCTAGGTATATATTACACTGAGCTCCTTTGTCCAAGTTGCTTGAGAAGTGGAACCACTTACGACGCAGAAACTTGTCACAGAGTACGCCTGAAAATCATCAAATCAAAATCATATTTTCACTAAATATGAACATTCGTACGTACGTGTGTCTTCGGCTAGCCGGAATCTCGTCTGACTGGCATCGCCCCAACCTCCTCCCAGTGTCCGCAAACTGCAGAGCAGTCGGTGCAGCTGAACCGCCGTACTCAGATTTAGTACCGATTTCTCGTACTTTAAAAAGTAGTCGAAATTCAAGGTGGCCAGTTGGGGAATAGTTTGCTTTTTATATGTCGGTACATTTAGACCCGGCAGACGTGATGTATGCAATATGTACAGGGATTCTGAAATAAACGAAAATAAGATGAGAATTCGTGAGACAATAATATAATAGCTAAGCTTACCGTGCAGCTGTTTGGAATTTGACTCATCGCTCCATCCGCCCCAGGAGAAGTATAAGGAAAAATATTGAATGCATAGGCCAAAGCAGGTTTTTATATAGTTGAATCGTTCCTTGAACAGATCCAAATTGCTATACACATGGTTGACATTGGCCAACTCCTCATCTATGGCCTTGGCTAGGACTTTTAGGTGATTATTTAAATCAATCATCGACTGACATATATCATGTAAGAAGCTCTCCGGACTGATACGATGCGGATGGAGAAACACTGAATCCAAGGAGTCCTGCTGGTCATGGACTGTAGCTTTCAGTTTTTGGACCACATCTTCAAGCAGGAAACGAAGCTCCAACAACCCTAAAGCGTTGCCTTTTTCCTTATCCTCCAGTGGATAGTTCAAGGATAGCTCTTGCTTCTCCAGTAACACCAAGATGCGCACATCCATTGGTCTGTACTTCTCCCGTGGTCCGTACAACTGCTCAAAGTCAATTTTGGTTTTGTTTGTCTTGCAGGGAGCCACCTTGAGGGTTAAGTCCACTAGTGTGGTTATATTACAGATTTCGTCCTCCTCCAGTGCGGTTTCATGGGCCTTGGCTCCAGGCTTACCACCTTGCCGTTTGTGCAGCGTAGCTTTCTGTTTTGAACAGTCGAGGAACTGATATGGAGGAACTACAAAGTTAGGAGGTGCATGGGTCAATAGCGACTTGACCCTTTGCTCCATGCGTATCAATTCACCCAAACGGAGCAACACTCGTTCGCGCGTGCCACGATGAATCTGAGCTGCGAACGCACTGATTGTTACCCTTATCCAGTTGATAGTATGGAAATAAATGCTAAGAATATGTTTCTGCTGCTGCTCGTCATAATTGTCGAAGATGGCCATGTAGTTTTCGTCCTCGAAGAACGAGGGCAGTACAATTGCACAGCCAAGTAAGGCATTAATCACATCCAGGCTGCCACGGTAGCAATTTTGGTTTAGCATTCTCACAAGGTAAAACAGAGGCGTCATTACATATATAGATCCAGAGGCTCTGTAATTGCGCAAAATTAGCAAGATTCTTGTGCAGTAAAAGCGTAAAAGGAGACAATATTACTCACTCAGTTTTTGGCGAGAGTACAAGCTCGGATATATTTATGGCAATGCCAAGAACGTCCGATTCTATGTTTACAATCGATTCGTCCAGTTCGTTGATATTCTTTTGATATTCCAGCTGGATGCCACTTTAAAATGTTTGCATTTAGTTGAGTTTGGTTTCAATCAAGATACTCACTTGATCGGCTTTGGAATTGTCTCGGTAGCGAAGTTGTGCTGAAAGCGATAGGTCATCAGTTCACAGAGCCACATGGTAAAGTATTTATCGTTCCAATATGAAGATATGGGACATCTTTGAGAAATAACGGTGGCCAACTCTTCATAGAACAGCGCCAGAGACTCAGCACTGTTAATGATGGATGATTCGGTGAGAGCTGTGTGATACAAATAACACTTGCAGGTTGAAGTATTTTACAAGCTTCAGACCATCATCATTTTCTTACTTATCAAGTTGGCTGCTACTTTGGAGCGACCGTCGGGCAAACCGTCTATGGAATCCACGGCGGGGGAAAAGTCCTCGTCCCCGTCGTCTAAGCTGCGTTCCTCAGTGCACGAAATGGCATTAATTAGCTGCACGCTGCCAATGATGCCTTGCTTCTTCACATACTCAGTGCGATTGATCAGCTGCTTCTTCACCACCATTTCGACTTGCTCCTGGAGCGGCAGTGACTCGGGTAGTTTTGGCTCCGGAAAAGCCAAGTTGCATAGCACTTCCATAGCCAGGCGAGTTTGCGGCAGTGTTAAGTCACTCAACCGATCCAGCATCGGCAGGAAGAGAGACGCGCAGTTCTGCACATCCTTGAAGCTCTTGCGCAGCAGCTCGCGCAGCAAATGCAGGGCCATTGTGGTAAGGTGTTGCGAGGATTTGTCACAGGCAAGATCAAGTAGCTTCCTCAGAATATTCTTCTGAATTGTGGTAAAAATCTTGAAGAGTACGCTGCGGTAAACGAAACATTAGCTCAAGCACTCGGTTCACCCTCGTTGGGCAGGGCACATCCTATTCACCTATACGAAGATTTTGCAAACTCTGACACAGCTGCATTCTTTTCGCACATGAAGTCGTGCAGGATGTGCATAAGTGTGCTAATATTTTTTTCCAAAATGTGCGGATAGTGCTGTTTAACGTCCTCTAGAATGTTTACTGTGATTTGGTTTAGCTTTATTCGACGACGAAGCTGCCAATAACGTTGGTTCGTTAGTTTAAAATGAACATATTTAGGGGTTTATATGTATGTATATACTCACAATATTCTCGATATACAGGGAGTTATCTTCATTCACATGGATCAGCAACAAAATCATTATTAAGTCAAGGGCGCTGCAAATACGTACAGCTGTAGAATAATGTATAAAATTGTTGTTTGCCCTGAACTAACGTGAATCCGTCTGCAGGCAAAGTTGCTATTAGTCTCTGCCACATTTGATAAAATCGATGGGAGCGTATCAGGCCTAGTTTCAGAAAGCCAAAAAGTTCCAGTTGCGACTTCTTGTCGTTGGCTGTCGGTGCGCTGCTGTCGTTAAGAGCTCTGTGACGCCAGTTAAATATTTCTCGCAGTGTGGAAACCATCTGATAGATATAAATTCGTCTCAGTCCCATTCTATATGGATTGGATTAATAAATCTTACCTCCCGCACACTATCATCTGTGTCCAGTATAAGACTGTTCAACAAAAGTCGGATGAGGTGGGGCAATGTCTACAGAAACAGGCGGTTAGAAATGAAAACAGAATATTCATAGTTTTGGATCTTGTGTACCGAGTCTGGACAGGTGCCACTTGTAGTGAACTCTAGAATGCGCAAGCGCAGCTTGTCTTGGGTCTTGGCTGAGAGCGAAAGGTTACTCAATGTGTGCACAGTGGTCATATTAAATAGCTGTTCGCTGCAGGAATAGTTTATACTGCCAAAAGAAAAGAGTAAGTTTGCATTACATAATTACGTTGATGTCAGCTTACAAGAGCAGCTCGACAAATTCGTCGTGCATGCTGGCATCCAGCATAAACTCGGCATTGCTTATGATATCCAACTTAGACGAGTCGGTGGCTCTGTTGAAGATACCCTCGATGCGCTTATAGATCTGGTCCTTGTGGGAAAGGGTCAGGTAGCGCATCTGGGCCATCATCAGGGGCAGCAAAGGCATTGCAATAGCACCCTGGCCCTTGATTACTTGGTCCGATGTGGCCACCTCTTCCATTCTGTTCAGTAGCACCTCCAGGCACGGATCCCGCATAAAATCGATCATAAGAAAGTTCATGAACATGCTGTTCTGCGACTGATATATTTGTTCCTCCCCGGCTGCATCCACAGTACAGCCAGTGAGAAGTTTCTGCGACAATTTGGACTTGGGCCCCATGGCAGAGTTGAGACCTGCCTTGAAGGTCTCCAACTTGTCCGCATAGGACGGGGCACTCATGAACATGTCTCGCAACTTTGAAACTATCGAGACATGGTCACAGGACAGCACAAGGGTGTCGCCCTGGTCCAATTGTACCCCGGCTCGTATCAGTACGAGCTCGAAGAAGTTGTTTGGCTGCCGCGACAGGCTAAGGTTTCGGCTGGAGGACTGTGTGCGCCCCAGAGTCGCGGCCAGGATGGCACTATGCTGTGACAGAAAGCGTTGCGTATGCTCCTGGGAGGCCGGTATGTTCTCCTCGCTTCCACTAGAAGTCGGTGCCACAGAAACATCCGTTTTGTTGCCGGTTTCGTTGTCCGCCGGAAGCTGTAAGAGAAACCCACTTGTATTCACGAAAAAAAGCAACAATTTCGAGTTCACTTACTGGTATCTTGATTGAGTTATTTTCATCGATGGTATTTAGTGGCTTCTGGCCACGTTTTTTGTATTTGCGATACATAATTAACAATAAATCTCACAAATAATGAATGAAAAACAATAAACAAAATATAAATCGTAAAAGGCGCAATTAACGCGGTGTTACACAGTACTACCCACCAGTGATGACAATATTTCATTTGTAAAATACAGCTAGATTGATCAGAGATATAAAAATATCTAAAACAGCTTGTAAGCCTGTAGCTGCAGCATAAATAATGTGAATTCTTCATCAGCGGAAAAAAAACACACCACATTAAAACCTTAAAATCCCGCTGTTCGCCCTTAAATTTTCCTCCCGTATAAGCCAGATATTTCAAGAAAATAGCTGATTTGGCAACACTGCTACCCAACCACATAATTAAAGCTTACCAACACTGAACCGCCGTTAGGGGTGGTGTAAATTCAAATATTTATTCAAAACATTCGCTACATGATATATAAAACTTTTATTGTTTTTAAATGTATATAAGGTATTCTTCATATGTGATAAGTAAGTATATAATATTGTAACCATGTGTTCGCTTAATTGTAAGAGCCGGAAGCATGTTCCAAAAATTGCTAATCGTTTCTAAAAGCACATTATTGCCTGCCTAATGGAAAAATCCAACGTAATATTATAATAATTACTTGTTCATAAACTTATTTATAATTTTAAAGCCTTCCATTTGAATTTTTAAACTGGTGTGCTAACTTTGATAATTTTGAATATAATTCCTTGATGCATTCTCAACATTTAAAAGTGCAAAAAACTCTATTCTATTGTGTCATACATATGTATATCTGTTAATAGATTATAGTATACATACGTACATACATATGTATGTATATGGTTTATAAAAAGGAAGTACAACATGTCTTGTCTTGAAGTGATTATGTCAGAAATTGACTTATGCCGAGAATATCGTATATCTCTATCGTACCTAATTCATAGAAAATCACTAATTTGGCGTTGTTTTAAGTATTGCTATTAAATTTAATCTCTCCTTGATGCCTTTTTTCTATCACACCAATACAGTCCATAGCGGATAATATGCGATTCTCTCTCTCTCTCCGCGACCTACACAATACTGTTCTCATCGGAATCCCAAATCGGTTCCCTACGTTTGATATAGTCCATGTTAAACCTGAAATTATTGCTTTTTCGTGCGCCTTCGCTTGAAGCCCGTCATTTGCTTTAGCAACTGAGAGTTCTCGTCATCCAGATCCATATTGGGTTCCCATAGGCGCAGTCGTCTGGGTATGTAAATCAGTCCCAAGAGTGTAATAGCTAGACAAAAATGTAATTAGCAAACTTGAACGAGAGTTTGATTAAATTACAATTACAATTCAGTACGCATGGGAAGATCACGTAAAAGTTGAGTGTGCTTGAGCGAAAGTAGAGAGCCTCAGTGGCGTAGAAGACCATGGTAAGGGCCAAGGAGCAGCCGCCCATGCTTACGACCCTGTTATTCAAAAATAGAACATCATTATTTCCCCACACCCATAACGCCACAGCTTCACTGAGTTCTGCTACTCACGGTCTGTAGTGTATGTAGAGGGTGCAGTGGACCAGGGCAATCGCCTTTAGCAGGCAGTACATGCCAATGATACGGGATATGGTGTAGTCCCCTGCAAATATCATAAAGCATTGCGATGCGATTCCTTATGGCGGGGGGAGGGAGGACTACGTTACTCACCCTCGATGAACTGCGTGTCGCTGTGATCGCCCAGAAAACTCCGTCGCTCGATATAACTACGAAATGCCGTGCCCAGGTCCATGAAGGCCACAAAGGCTATCCAGCCGCGGAAGGCATAGAGCAGACGTTCGCGTGGTCGTCCGCTGGCCATGGCAGCCCTAAAAGAAATTTTTGCACTTTTTAATACAAAAAATATTACGCCGACAAAAAACAAGGGAGAGAGCACTAACTGTAATGCTATGGCATTAGTCAGCCACGCGGGCTTATCTGCCGGTAAAAATCACTTGCGGCAAGTTACGGAAGTCCTCAACCATCCACCGCATCCGACCAGCACACGCCCCCACACCCGCCCACCTCTTGGAGCATGCTCTTGGCTTGTGCTGAGACTGGCTGGCAAAATCGATATCACACCCAACGCGTGGCACGTTTATCATTTATGCAACGGCAAATATTTATACAGAGCGTAATTCCTGGCTGCACGCGAGCACGTGGAGCCCGAATTCTGGCCGGAACGGAGCGTGGAGTGGGGGCCCAATCAGGTTATTTATTTTCAATCAACAAAGAGGCGCGCCGGCCACCGGCAGGGTATCCCAAGCAACGCGATTATGGCCCTGGGACCGGCATTCATAATTTTAGGCCATCAGCCCCAAGAGTTCTTTTGCATTTTGCACAAGAGTCTATATCGGTATGTGTGCTGTTTATTTTTATGACAAATTTTTGCTTACATTTTGCACGGGGTTCCAAATTACCACACTCGAAACACAGCGCTCCGTCACTCACGACGAATTACAGACGTAATACTGAAATACACTAGTCTTTATAAATTTTGTTTTGTTAAATCCCTTATTTGTTGCAGCATTTGTTCTCTTATTGTTTTCATTTATTCACTTTTTTCGTACTGTCGGCTGCAACGCCTCACCGTCCATTGAAAGTCTTCCATCAGCGCAAGAAAGTGAGTCCGATAGTTCAATCCGTTGCCAGAAAGCTTCATGCTTTGAGCTTTTACCAATCGGCTGAAGCCCGTTACTCGTTGGGTATTTTCAAAAACGATTTATTTAGCAAAAGTAAAAAAGGTTTCAACAATTTTGAAGGATACGTAGTAACGCAGGTTTTGTCAAGTTCTGTGGCTCTCTGGGGAATCATCGTCAGATTATGCTGTCAGGACTAGTTCTGTTCCTTGCCAATGTTACCCTCAGTCTTGCGGTACTCGGCCCAGTCCACAAAGCCATCGTTGTTGAGGTCCATGGACTTGAGAACATAGTCGATGGTATCCTCCAGGGCCTTGTCCGTGTATACGCTGCCAGTTTTGTGCTCATCGGGAGTTTCACTCCCATCCTCGGCAGGTTTCTTGCTACCATCTTCGACTGGAATGACAATGAATGTAATGTTAAACATAGCAACTTTATGGGAGGGGGCTGGGAAGCGCTCACCGAAAACCGCTAACAAATGTTTCTAGCTATGGATTTAGAAAGCTACTGGGGCAGGGGTTTAGATGTGGGAGGGGGATTATGATTTGTATTCGACTTTATTTGCTAGATCTGGTTTTACTTACAGAGAATTGCATGCGTCTATATAATAGGTCTCAAATTGAAAAAAAAGAGTTTTCCATTTAGTTATAGTTTTACTTCGATTTTTTTGCGTGTTTTTTCTCTTTTTTGTACAAAACCAACGTTCACACAATCAGTCTGTTTTTTGTTGCTGCTCTCAAGTTGCGCTTAAAAATTAGTTCATATCGAAATTAACTAAAATTATGACGTAGGGAAAACAAAATAAAACAAAGCAGTTAAAAATTGCACAAACCACTTCAGAGATTCGTGTGGACTATTCGAAAATAGGGAATTTTGTGTGAAAATATCTTGGAAGGATATAATGAGTTACAATTTGTTCAATGAAGTTTTCCGAGTGGAATGGAATGCTTGCAGCATGGTAAGTAGAATTGCTTTGGGAAAGGGTCTAAAACTCTGTCAACGGTTTGACAATGTCGACGTAATTTCATGATGTTTTCGGCGAAAGGAGTATGTGTTGCACGTCACAGGACTTAAGACGAAGACATAGTCAAGCTTGATTGATTAATGCAAACTGAACGGATCGAACGAACTATCTACTAATGAACCGGCTGCTGCTGCTGCTGTTGTTGTTGTTGCTGCTGCTGCTGTTGCTGCTTTTCAGAGGCCTTCTGCTGAGCCTTGATGAACTCCGGATAGTCTATGTAACCGTCACGCGATGTATCGTCCATTTGCAGGATGGGATCAATGAGGGCCACCAGCTCTTCATCGGAGAAGACTTTCTCCTCGACGTGCGGTTTCTCGCCGTTGGGCTGCTCCTTGCTGCCTTGCTCTGGAGTTCAGCGTTTGGGCAATGAGTGTTGTTATGTCGTATGCAAGATGGATTAGGATGATGTTTGAGCATGACCAAAACCAAAACCAGAACACACCGGAAACAGCCGAATTAAATTATTTTGTACGTGACGCATATGCAAAAAGAGGTAAAACAAAACACATGAGTCAAACAGAGCAGGAAATAGAACTGCAGACGCATATCAAAACACACAAAACCAGCATCCTCAAGAAAGAATCGTGCGATCTTACCGTGCCAGTGGATCAGGGACTTGATCAATTCACAGCCGTCCAGCTTGTTGTTGTTGTCCGAGTCGTGCATCTTGAAGTAGTGGAACTGAAGCTCCGCCTCAGACATTTTGCTCGTATCAATTGGCACCTGCATGTGCTCCTGGATGTGACTAGAATGTACAGTAGATAAACAACGATATGATAATTGCCGAGATAAGATAGCCGAGGCCCTAGCTGACTTACGCGCGCTCCTGTTGAATGTTGCCCGTGTTCAACACCTGCTGGGGCTGGCCGTGATTATGGCCACCCGCCTGCTGCTGGTGATGCACTTGTTGCTGTTGCTGTTGCTGATGCTGCTGTTGGTGCTGTACGGGCTGCAGCATTTGTGGCTGCTGTTGGATGGGTGGCTGCTGGTGTTGCTGCACAGGAACCTGCTGGTATTGCACAGGCTGCTGCTGCTGGACGGGCTCGTATTGCTGTGGAAGGGTTGACAGTCGGTCAGTGTTCTTGCGCCCTAGACTTGACTCCTACTCACATACTGCTGCGGCGGCACTCCAGGAGCGCCGTGACCTTGCTGCTGGTACTGCGGCGGCGGCGGCGGCTGGTGATGTTGCGGCACCTGGGGCACTTGTTGCTGCATACATCAGAGAATCGGTCAATTAAACAACTAGCAGCTGCTTGCACAATATCAGAAACTCACATAATGCTGGGGATTTACGCCGGGCGCCACACGTTGAGCGCTCGCCAGGCCCAGCACGGCTAGCAGCAGGACTGCTCTGAAATCTGGAAAATGCATCTGGATGGAAGTGCTAGATTCCAGCAAGGATTGGGATCAATTTCAG